TGAAGTGTTCTGTAGTCTATGAAAAGAACCTAAGAAAAGAAAGGTCCTAAGAAACTGAAAGCCTTTTATTTAGACCTGTTGAGCTACATTTAAGAGATTTTTTTCTCTTTTTTTTTTTTTTTTCTGTAAGGACATTATTGTACCTTATTTTTCTTTCTTTCTGGTTGTACTTTTTAACTGTGAGAGTATATTCCAGAATATTACAGGATTTTTTTAATTAGGAAAAGTTTGGGAAAGAGCTAGTCAATTTAGAAAAGAGGCTTTTGGTCAACCTTGGAGTTGTAGCTCAGCTATTACAAGAAGCCAGTCAGTCTTTTTTTTGTGAAACACTCAATTGGTCCAAACTAGAGATTCAGCTCTTGCCAGTGAAGTTCCATGGTTCAGCATCATAAACAGTTGAAAAACTTCCAACCTAGCCTTTGAAGAAGCAAAACTAACTTCTGAGAGTCTTCCCTCTCTGTGTTCATAGAATAGTTAAGGTTGTAAAGGACCTGAAGATCATCTAGTTCCAACCCCCCTGCAATGGGCAAGGATGCCTCACTCTAGACCATGTTGCCCAAGGCTCTGTTCAACCCAGCTTTGAACACTGCCAGGGATGGTGCATTCAGCTTCCTTGGGCAACCCATTCCAGTGCCTCACCACCCTTACAGTAAAGAACTTCTTCCTTATATCCAATCTAAACTTCCCCTAAGTTTTAACCCGTTACTCCTTGTCCTAGCACTACAGTCCCTGATAAAGAGTCCCTCCCCAGCATCCCTATAGCCCCCCTTCAGATACTGGAAGGCTGCTATGAGGTCTCCACGCAGCCTTCTCTTCTCCAGGCTGAACAGCCCCAACTCCTCAGCCTGTCTTCATAGGGGAGATGCACCAGTCCCCTGATTATCCTCGGGGCCCTCCTTTGGACTTGCTCTAACAACATGAGAGTGGAAGTCAACAACACTCAACAACATGAGAGTGAATCAATATTATATTTTAGGATTGGTGCTCTTTGAAGAGGAATTCATGGCCTTTGCTGCTGCTTGCAGTAAGCATCGTTACGTCAGACAAATACAGATAAACGAAACTTTAGCACTCCTTATAGGTATATTCCAGTCTGGTTTAGCTTCAGGTAACAGATTCTTCAGCTGAACTAACATGCAGGATAATTCATAAGGATCCCCAGAGGTGGGATTTAGCATTAGTAGGCAAATCTCATTCTTTTACACTTCTTTAAATGTGTCATTTAAGGTCGCGGTCTCCTATCTGCCCTTATTTTTCTCTTTCTGTATATCATTTCTGTTGAGTAATCCTTGAAGTTTACAACTTTCAACATCAACAGCTGATACAATCAAATACTATGCTAACATGATCCTGTCTAATGCTACTGCATTTATGTGAGACTGCATTTGTTATGCTTCTCCATCCTACACAAGGGAAGGAGCTAGCAGGATTTAACAGCTGGGCATGAAACAAAAGCTATTTACACAAAGCATTACAATTCTTCGAAGACAGGTGACCTAGATTTTCATTCACATGAATTGCAATATGTGCAATTTTTATAAAATAATATTTCATAATATTTCACAATGGAAATGTGTGAATGAAGAAATAATCCTCCAAGGAATCTGAAAGTTACACTGAAACATCTCTACTTAACAGAGCATTATATCCATAGGAAAGATTAGAAGTCTTCTGAATAAAGGAACTTCTTGTAGGATTCAGACTTAATTTGTAAATATAGTTCCTTACCAAACAAATCTTTAGAACTAATACAATATTATGGTTAACAGTTTAGTGAATAACATCTCCCTTTTTCTGAAAGCTCAAGTTTGAGTATATACAGTATTTTTAACAGAGAAGAATGTCTCCATTAAAATACTCCCTGGATTTACTTAGTAGCTTATGACATGCCTGAAGTTAAACTAGATCTCATCTTCCTCAAGCATTTTTCTATGTTTGATTTAATACTACTAAAAATCTGAATTAAAATTAAAAAAAGTTAAGCCTATAGAGTTATACAAGCAAAGGAGTGGCAAGACATCACAGTTGCAACATGGCTTTGGGTTCTGAACTTTTTGCAAAATCTTAAATAGAAACCAATCTGCCATTTATTTGCAAAAAACCACAGACACACGGACATTTCTGTTCAAATATTCTCCATGCCACTGTACTTTTCTCATAGACACGGAACTATGACTCAGTATTTCAGAAGATAATATGAAGTTTCTGCAGACACAGTATTTGCAAAGAGAATGATGCAGAATTTTAGGAATCCTATCTAGTTTTACAGGAAAACTTTTTTCTACTTCAAAGAAATGAAATTTGATTCCATTTTGCTCATTGAATCAAATAAATGAGAAGTGGCATTTGAAAACAGTTTCTGATGACGAATGTGATAAGTGGATTGCTGTGAAGATACATAAAATGTCATATTCTAGGCTTCCTGGCTTGATTGATTTCAACAGGTTGGAAATAAAATACAAGGAAATCTTTATTTATGAACAGGTAGATATAAGCACAAAGCCAAAATGAAATATGACAAAGTATAAATACAATGCATACTGGTTAAAAAGTGAGAGAATGCATCATAAGGAAAATAAAAATGAGTATCCCTTTTACTAGGAACCAGTGCAACCACTATACCTGTTGCAGCTTGGATTGTATTTATATGTCTATATATTTTACTATATAGTAATATTTTGATAGTGAGAGAAATGAGTAAATCTTTGATCGTATCACCAAAAGATTTAACCATGTGAAAATCTACTAAATAAATTCACAGTCCTGTCTAGCCATGATTTGAAACTAAGGATGAAATAGAACTATGGACATAATAGAACTTCATTGAACTATGGACAATTATCTCCATAACTAGTCTGAAGGAACTTCAACGCAAGTAGTCAAAACCAGTGGGACTGACTGATTAAATAAAGGTATCTGATCACTGCTTTAATAATTTATTCCACTTATTCCACATTCAAGATCACTGACCTCTCTCAGTGTTTTCCTTCTGAATGCACCTGAACATGTGAATCTGAGAAATGCTGTGTACTAAAGCTCCTCAGCAAGACATTAAGCAAGAGAATATGTCTTTGTCTTTAAGACTGTTCAGAAATGTTGAATACCTTGTTCCTTGGTATTCAATTCAATAGACAAAGAACTTACTATTACTGAGCACTTCTGATATCTTTTCCTTGGAACATCCCCCCCAGCATTATAGCTGGGGATTCAACTGGAGTGAGGGTAGATACCTGGGCACCTCAGGGAATACTAAACTACACTACAAGTGGTAAGTACAAATACACTAGAGACAGTAGCAGACTTACCAGAAGTCTGCCAGGCTTCTTCCCTCTTCCCAAATGTCTATCAGCAGGTAAGGAAACTAATAGCTGTCATTTGAAGACCTGAATCCAGAAACAGGGACCAGAACATACCTGCTGTACAACAGTCATTTGCTACCAGCAGTGGTTTTCTCAATTAACTGTTCTAATTATATTTTTCAGAAGTCATCAAATGAAATTACTCTTAAAAAAAGTATCAAAAAAGGTTCTGCACATGATGGAATATAACAGTAATTTCTGTCATATAGGTAGAAGCATTTCAGTTATTTTGCCTCTAAGACCTTTGAACAACGGATAAGGTTTTCAGTTGTACAACGGCAGCGTAGTAAAGTGCTGATCACCTACTTGGATTTCTAGACTTTACAGTGATGCTAACAAATTAATGATGTTACATTACTTACAAGGACAAAGACTGGCTCTAAACCGGGGGCTCCTAAACAACTATCACATCAGTAAAAGCTATGAGCAATCAGAATGCTGCTGCTTTCTGTCCCCTACATCCACAGTATCAGGTTTTATAACAGTTCATTATGGCATAATCTTGGAAAACTTATTTACTCTTCTCATGACTACATATGTCAGTGAGAAGACTTACAAAACAGATTTTGTATTGTAATTTGCACTATTGTTGTATGTACTTTGGAGCTGTCGTAACAAGGCTACATCAATACTTGAAACTCCTCAGTCTCTTGATAATTTTGCATCTATGTGGTTTGGCTTTTTTTTTTTCCCAATGAAATTTCCCCCTTTTCAGCACAAAGAGACACTCCAAACCAGAAAGTTCATCCAGTGCTGCACTGTATTGTACTATGAGATGTATTATGGTCTTGTTTGTGTTTATTTGTGTATGCAGATGAAAATGCTATACATGAAAAATAAAGATCTGATATCTTTATTATGAGATCATCCTGAAGGAATGGACTAGAACTATTTACTATAACTTAACACAGAATAAAAATGTGTGAAAATCAGTATCCTATTCCAATAAGAATACATTTACTTTTTCAGTCCTTAAAATATAAGATTTACTTTAATTGTTCATAAAAGGATTTCTATCAGTCATAAAGATCCCATGAATCAAAATGGAGTTTGACAATGGGATTACTGTCTTTTTATTTGTAACAAAACAGCTTCATTAGTCCAATTAGATTATGCTGTGTTGCTATCCTGAAGTAAACCTAGTCATGCATGAACAAGAAAAGGGAAAAGGTAACAGAAAATAGAGCTAGAAGGGACTTAAGATGTCACCTAGATCCCTACATCTATGTGCAAGCACACAAAATAATTTTATATGAATCTTTACTGAAATATGTCTAATGTGGTTTTAAAAGCTATAGTGACAGAGACTACCAAGCACCCTAGCCTTGTGTTACCATACTTCACTCCCTTCTAATATTAATACTAATTTCCTGTTACTGAAACACAGGGCCATGACTTTTTGCTGAATCCAAAAGGAGCTTGGAGAGAATTGTCCCCTAGGTAGGGTCCATCAAAGAACCAAAAAAAACTATGTACTGTTGTCTTCATAAGCATATTATTCTGAAAGCGTTACTTTTCTAACAGCACTGTGAAGAACTCATCTTTGGAAACAGATGTACATGCAAGGTCTTGGTATCTGGAGGTCACACAAGGGTACCTAAATGAACTGTAGCTCAGGCAAATAGAGGCTGCTGATGTAAATAATGCCTGGAGATTCAACTGGATAAAACATTCTTTGCTTTATTCCTAAATCATTTTGCAGCATGTCTCTGCACTGAAATGATTATACCATAATCCAGTGTACTGGGTTTGTGTGACAAGATTTTGGTAGCAGAAGGGGTACAGGGGTAGCTTCTGTGGGAAGCTGCAAGAAGCTCCCCCCATGTCCAATAGAGCCAATGCCAGTCAGCTCCAAGACGAACCTGCTCTGGTGAAGGCTGAGCCCATCAGTGATGCTGGTAGTGTCTCTGGGAAAACATGTTTAAGAAGGGGGAAAGCCCCCCTGGAGATAGCAATTGCAGCCAGAAGAGAAGAATGAGAATATGTGAAACAGCTCTGCAGACACCAAGGTCAATGCAGAGGGATGGGCAGGAGGTGCTCCAGGTGCCAGAGAAGAGATTCCCCTGTAGCCCATGGTGCAGAACATGGTGAGGCAGGCTGCCCCCTGCAGCCCATAGAGGTCCCATGGTGGAGCAGATCTCCACCTGCAGCCTGTGGAGGACCCCACACCAGAGCAGGGGGATGCTCAAAGGAAGCTGTGACCCTGTGGGAAGCCTGCTCTGGAGCAGGCTCTTGGCAGGACCTGTGACTCTGTGGGAGACCCACACTGGAGCAGGAACCCCATGGGAAAGACTTGGGTTAGAAAAGTTAGTGGGAAGAGTGTGAGCAGGAAGGAGTGGCAGAGACAACATGTGATGGACTGACCACAGCCCCCATTCCTGCACTGCTGGGAGAGGGGAAGAGGCAGAGAAAAATCAGGAGTAAAGAGAAGCATGGGAAGAAGGGAGGGTTGGGGGAAAGTGTTTTTAAGTTTTGGTTTTATTTCTCATTATCCTACTCTGATTTGTTTGGTAATAAATTAATTTCCCCAAGTTAAGTCTCTTTTGTCCATGACAATAATTGTTGAGTGATCTCTCCCTGTCCTTATCTCAAGCCACGAGCCTTTCATTATATTTTCACTCCCCTGTTCAGCTGAGGAGGGCAGTGATAAGGTGGCTTTGGTGGACACTTGGTGTCCAGCCAGGGTCAACCCACCACAGCCACATAAGTGACATGTGCTGAACTGTTGTCCATGTTATATTCCTGTGTATCAAGATTAGAAATAAATGATTCCTAAATGCCCTGTACTAGGAACCCACACTGCAGAAAAAGGAGAAGTAAACACAAGCTGTACAGTGGACAGCATGAACTTAAGAATAAACAAGAATAACCAGGGGAAAAAAAAAGTTTATTTCAAAGGCAGAAACTTGCTGTACATTCATTCTCAATGGTTGAATATGCTCTTGAAATTTTCAATGGGCTGAGTCATTACAAGAATGTGAATCAGAATTTGAGAGCATATTACAGGTTGAATTGATGGGTGCTGCTATGAACATACAGTTACTGAAATACTACTACATTGATATGGTCATGGCAACTATTTGCCATAGAGGAAAGTGAACATAGGCAGCATATATGCCCTGAAACTTGTTTTTCTCATTATATTTTTGTTCCTAGCATGGAGAAACAGGAGCCCAATGTGACTTTGCATATGACAGCATAGCTATAGGTATAAACCACAGGTAATCGTATCTTTTGAATTAAAGATAATCCAGTTAGATGAAAGCCGTGCCAGTCAACTTGAAATTCTCTGATACTGCATCTTTCCTTTCTCCCTTCTTCAGTGCTGCAAAACAATTTCATTTTGGCAGTTACTTAGCACAATGTGTGTAAGTCTTCAGATCATTTAAAAACTTTATTTCAGACATATTAATGCCATTTAGGTTCTGTACTACCATTAACTACTTAAAGAGGAAGAGATGACATGATATGTATTTCTGCATTAGAAACAGAAGTTTGCTTGTTTGCTTAGCAGATGAAGGATGGGTCTGCAGTGTGTTTGACAAACTAGAAAGAAGTCATTGTCCTAAAGTGATCTGCATATCAGCATGGAATGTGTGTCCAGAGGACTGTTGCTTATGGCATTACATAAAATATTTGTAAGATTAAGAGTAAATATCTTGCCAAGAATTGCTTCAGGAAACTAAAATTGGACTACTGTCATTAGTGAGGCTGAGTCCAGGCAGGCAAGAGAAATGCCCTTTACCTATGTCATCTTGCAGTCACAGCATAGATATGTAAAGAGAAGGCCTGTGTTGCTGTGGGATGGCATATGTAACAGTAATATTTTGCATTATTTTAATCTATCTTTTATCACTGAATTATTTATTCATCTCGTCAGTATGTTACAGGTTTTCTGATATTTGCAAGTCTATTTCCAGCCTATGATGGGAGTCACAGACTTTCCTTTCTTTAGTAAGCAATCGCTCAGCAACTCATTTTGCAGCTGAACCATGTTTAAAAAAAAAAAACAGACTGAAAAAAGACAGAACAAGTGAACCAACCAGAGCCCTGAAAGCCGTTGCTAATATACCAACTACCTGCTCACAAAAACCAGAACTGTTTCTGCCAGGTAGTGTGGAACAAGGAAATTATATCAAACTCAAATTTTAAGCCTTAATAGAAAATCATTGACTTTCTTTTGCTTTTCCCTGTTGGGCACCATTGTTTATACTACATATGGTTGGACAGGTTATGCATATGTGGATTAAACAGAACATACTCTTCCTGGTTTGTCCTGTGACAGGGGAGTCAACCCCAGATTTCCTTAGTATCTCTTAGATGTAAGACACGGTACCTTCGAAATGAAACTGCTGGTGCTGGCAGAGACACAGAAGTCAGTGGAGATGACTGCAGATGTGACAGCAGAGCTAAAGATGGCTCTGCTGGCCATCATGATTTTCAGCTGATTCAGTAGCAACTGAATCACTTCCACAAAATTATTCTGTTGGTCTTGGCTGAGGAGTTTGTCCACAATTTGCATGCAGTACAGTCTAATCCCCTACCAACCTCTGAGTAACCAAAGAGGCAGATCTTGCAGATTCTCTTACAAAACTTTTCATCTTTTTCTTCTGGTGATCTAGTGTTCTCCATGTGTTTATGAATCCTGGACAGTGGTGGTGGTTCAATGGACTTAGAAGTTCCTGCTAAGAAAATCAAAAAGTGTATTATATTTGGAAAACTAATAGGATTCTCCTATATTTTCTGTGTTGGAGTGAGTTGGAAATCAATATTTCTACCATTTTTGAGTTTTATGAACTTGCTTGTTGCCCTATAAAAAACATATCTTTTTCTTGAAATGAATATCTGAGTGGGAATGGAAAGGAAGAATGGTTGCCACCACACCAGGTGGCAGAGCCAGGATCTATATTTTTAAACAAAGCTGTCAGACTAGAGTTTCAGGAGGTAAATCTAGCTGGCAGAACAGATTTGAGTGTTCTTTGCCTGATTTCCAAGTGCCCAGGGAGTAGTATATAAACTTTACAACTGCTAAGTATCTCTTGGTGTGTCTGGGCTGTCAGATGTGCTTATCACTGAAAGTCATCATTGCACTGTATGGAAGGGAGAGGAAGGGAGAGGAAAAAGAGTTTTCATCAAGAAATGCTACATTGCCCATGGGAAGTATGTCAGATCTGATGTCTTCCCTCACCCACTAAAATGGTGTTTCCTTGTTCTCTGGCACTGGGCAAAGCTTTTATTCAAATTAGTTTAAAAACAGTATTTTGATATCAGTATGAACAAATTTCTAAAATTAGCAAATTTCTAAAATAAGCAAATTTCTAAAATTTTTAATGTCATTGCTAACCCTGCATTTTTTTCATGGAATCTTGTGAAAAATGGTTATAGACACAGTTGGGAAGGATAGACAGTTATCCATTTAAATCTTTGTCTTCAGGTTCTATCCTGTGCTCTGGGATAAGAAGATGAGGAAGAAAAAAGGTGGCTTAAGGATACAACTTCTGTTAGTTAAAGCAAGACGGGTCTCATCAATATAGACTGTATTTGTCATAGCCCATAATTTTCTCCTTCCTAAGTCTCCCCAAACATAATAAGGTACAGGTGGCACTTACCATAGCGAGGGTCCAGACGTTCTCTTTCTTCAGGTTGCTTATTGTGCACATTTTGAAGGGCTCTTGAGGTGCCTCTGAGTTCTTTCAGCCATGCAGATTTATTGTGGGTTTGGTTCCAGTCTGATCCCAAGACTCTGTCATGGTCTCTTCTGCAAATGACTCCTTGCCCCTATTTTCAGCCTAAAAATCATACTGCTGTCATGAAAGACAGAGCTGTCTGTTTGCAAGGACAGCAGTGGTAGAGTCTATTAGAGAAGGACCTATACAAAATGTACTTCTGGGCCTGCAACACTGTCCCTGACTTTTAGCACAAATCTTTAGATAATTGTGCATGAAAGTACAGCATTTGTCTCTACTTGCATCTGGATGGTCTTGGGGCTTGGTATTTTTGGTGCTACTTCTACTAAATCATAATCTTATGTTTTAGCACAGGGGGGTATGTCAATAGCATGCTTACTTTCTCTACTGTTGGCAGAGACTAAATAATAAGAAAGTTTAAACCAGACTTCTTGGACAATGAAGGACTTAGGGCCCTGAGAAGGAATATATATGGTCAGAAAGCCTCTAGTGAGGAAATTTGATATTAAGCCTGGAAGACTAAGGTATAGGTAAACAGAGGTATTAGTGGCAGGCTGCCCAAACGCTCTCTTCACTCTATCTACTGGGTGAGTAGGAGAACAAGGGACAACTTACTGTGTGCTCTGTTTCAAAGTGCCTTGAATACAGCTTGCGTTCAGGCCACCCATGCCATCCCATGCCATCACATGCCATCCCATCCCATCCATCATCTGTCTGTGCCCTCACCCCAACAGTTTTCTATTTGAAGCAATGACGAAAGCAAGGTTTGCTCAACATGGATGGTGAACCAGTCGGTAGTTTAACCTCTCTAATGACTTCCAAATTTATTCCTTTACAGGCCCTGAAAAGTTAGTGGAAACTCTGCTCTTCATGTGAACTGAAATCTTGGCGCTCTGTATTGAGCCACTAACAATTTTTTCTCATCTGCTTTAGAATTTCAGTCAATCCCTGCAGAGGGCAGTAATGATATTTTTCTCACTGAGCACAGACATAGACTGCAAGTTTTTATTATTTTTTTTTTTTGTGTAAATCACACACTGGGTAAGATGAGTAAGTACTCTGAAGCAATACTAACTGTCTTTGTTGGGTGTGCACATGCTACGTCTTACTCATATGACTGGAGTATAATAATAACCAAGATCTGAGATGATCTAGATGTATGCACCTTCTTGATAAGCCAAATATTTTGGTCTTGCAATTTCATTTTTTATATTATTCTGGCTAAGTAGGGAGGCACTTCTGTGAAGCTAAATGGCCAATAAGGAACGGAAATCCAAATTGCATATCTAACGGTCCACTTGTTCTTTAAATCTTTGAAATGAGACGTGTGTTGTTCCAAAAGTTCCCTCTTTGAAATCAATAGTCTACTTGCAGCATTCAGCATCACTCGACATGGATGACTGTGTTGTGCCATATATTACAAAAAGGAATCTTTTAGATTAGATATTGTGGATGTTAGTAGAAAATAAATCTGATTACTAAACTTAACAGCTGTTTAATTCACAAAATTATGTGACTAAGTTTTGTTTTTTGAGTCAGATTATCACTGCCAGTTCTAGCTGGATTACAATACACTCAAACTTGATATATTTGTCATTTAGTTGCCTGGGACATCAACTTGCAAAGAAATTACAGGTTAATTCAGATGATATAAAGCAATGTCATAGGAAAGAGATTTCCAACTAATTATTATTTTTACACCGAATGCAATATCTCCTGTGACGATTCATGACTTTAGCAAAAGATGAGATGAATTCTTTTCAAAAAGTTGGAGGACATTTGACAAGAATACCTACCTGCACAATGTCATGATGGGTGCAGCTAGTAATGTATAATTACTTAAAAGTGTTGTCAGAGTACACTTGATAGGGTTCACATTTAGGTGTGACAAACACTTTTAAATATACTTCACTGGTTATAAAAATACTTATGAAGTATTTTTTTTTTTTTTTTGCAGCTCAAGTACCACTCACTACAGCAGTTCAGGAGCTGATTATAATTCTGACAGGCATTTTCATCAGCACAGCATTCAACAGAGAAGATGGTTAAACAAAAAACTAGCTAAGGTCTTCTGGTCTTTGGAGTGCAGAACCCTCCATTTATACATTGCTTCCTTGCCCTTGAGAATCACACTAACTCACTTAAAATCTGTGCCTTGTTAAAATTTCATTTGCCCCTCCACAACCTTATATGTACTCTTAGCAACCCATAAGCGCATTTCCTGAATAATTGGCTGAAGCACCCTTTTATCCTTCAGTTTAACTGTGAAAAAGATATCAATCCATATTCATAAACATGGACCAACTGTATTGGTCCATGTATGTATGAGTGTGTGGTGTACGAGTAGATAAAAACCAGTCATTTTTGTTGCCTCATTTTAGTGACACAAATCACAAGAGATATGAATGCAATTTTCTCTGTTATCGCACAGAATAAGGGCATAAATTTCCAAATTTATCAATCCTGAGAATTGCTGAGAAAGTAACTGGCTGAAAACAGGTACTCTCGGCCTTAACTTTAGTCATGCAGTTCCCTTCTATAGTTTGCCTTGATGGTGAATGACAACCGCTGGCAGGTATTTACCATCATAATTATTTGGGGTTTTTTATTTCCTTCTGGTTTTGCTCAAAACATTGTAAAAGCCATAAATATTAGATGGCCTTGACAACTTCATAGTAGCAAAAGCAAAAAAATTGCACAAAGAAGTTCAGAATGACATCAGATCAGGAAATGATGTAATGACCTGCTTTAGAAAAAATACACTTTATGTGTACAAATTTAAAAGCATAGCTATTTGTATTTTTGCTTCATCTGAATAATTGTGCATATGAACTGATTCCCATTATTACTTTTGACAGATTTTTAAAGTACTGAGATTTTATAGAATTTAGTATGGAAAATAAAACTGGAAATTTACATGAAATGCTGAGGAAACAAAATGTACTTTGAAAAATTCATGTATAAGTACAAATACTTACCTTTGTGTTTGGGTGGCATAACTGTTATCATATGCCTCATAGTTTGGTTCGTCATATTCACCTCCATATCCATCATCATATCCCTAAGGGAAAAACAGAACGCCACAGCTTAGAAGAGAGATAAATCAAAGTATATTATCAACTTGTAATTTGTGTCAACATATACATACTATGCTTGCCCCATATTATGTAAAACATGCAGCCTACTGATGAGATTTGTGATTTGTGAAAAACAACATGTACATTGCAAGGGTAAAAAAAAATTCATTATTCACTTAACAACTTGCCTTATTCATTGATAAACTGTGGTGTCCAAACCACAGTGCTTCAGTGGGATCTACGTAGAATACTGATGAATGATAATAAAAACAATGATTTCTTATTTTTTATATAAACGGTTTGATAAATACCTATAGATGAAATGCAAAAATGGCAGGAAAAATATATTGACTGTAAAACATTATTAAGAATTTTATTGTGATAGGATCATAATCTTCAGTGTATTTAACACTCCCCCAACCTGTGAGAAAAAAATTTGTGCATGTTTGTGAAGGAAGCAATGGATTATAATTTTTTATAAATATGTTACAGTAAGCACTTTTTCCTTCATTGAGCATCCCACTCTCTTTAAAGGCATGCTTTTCTGTGACGAGTTAATGAAGACTTTAATGCAGATTTCTCCCATCTTACTTAGGGCTCCTAACTGAAGAGCTCAGACAAATGCTCTGTCTGCCTAAGCTAGAGAAACACAAGTAACTTCAGAAGGTAGTTCAGCTCATCTAATGCCTGAATCTTCTACTGAGGGTGCAGTGGGCAATTATGATCCGTTGTAGCTTCCTCTGAACCAAGGAGTGCGCAGGAACCAGAAAATAAAAAAAAAATTATTTAATCCAGTGGATAACTTTTGATATGCTGTTTTCATAGAACAGAGTAGGCAAAAAAATGCTGCATGGAAACAGTTTTTTCTCTCTAAATTTTGGGAGCCAGTATTTTTAGTTAAATAGAAACCAAACATTTTGTAGTCACAATAAAAATTTCCTGTTGTAGGAAGTGCCAAAGGAAATAGAGGGCTTAAAAATCTTTGACTCAATATTAATTACACCAGAAGGCAATTTGTTTTTGTTTTTTTTTTTTCTTGCAACCTATGTAAAGTTTAGCTAGCTTGGGCTAGAAGGCACAGCATGAGGCAGCTCCAAAATAACAGCAGCCCAATAACAATTACTCTGGTACAATATCATAACCACACAAAGTACAGAATCAGTTTGTTGATTCATTATTTCTGGTAATTAAACTCTGTAATGGTATCGAACTAAACTTCACTGGTACACCTAATTTAAGTAAAACATAAAATGAGGATATACTAGTTATGTCTGATCAGGTCAAGCACATTAAATATACTTCTCCTTGTGGTCTCCCACCCAGCAGTGAGGGTGAGTGTGGATTCCAGGTGGGAGTTTTCACCCTTGAGGGGTGCTGCATGGCCTAAAAGAAAGACAGGACTTTGGATGGTGACTACTTCTTAGGCATTCACATCAGTTTGCAGTAAGGGAAAGCTTTTCTTGAGGGAGAGGGAGAGTCCTGTTTTGGGGAACAGCCTTTCCCAGAATTTGAAGTGTTCAAAAACCTCATCTTCCATTTTAGGTGGAAGCTCATCAGTTTGACTTGTCTTCATTAATATAAACTCAGAGCAAAAAGTACAGTTAAACACCTATCCCTGCAGACTACAGCGACATATTTAACGTCATTCAGCTAAATACACAATCTTGCTTCTGGGGACAGGATAAGAGAAACAATGAACCACAGAAGATAGATGTTAGTCACATTGATCAGTATGCTACTGGGTGGGATCCTGCTATTGTGAAGATGAGGGTGATGCAAATTCCTGTATAAAGCTGAGTAGCTAGAGGAAAGACATTTCAGCATGCTTACGCACCACATGAGAGAACAGGAAGGGCAACAATTACGAATTAGTTTTCTCAGTTTCTTGATGCCTGAGGTGGATTAATGTTCAGCACCAGCAGGGCAGAGAACACTTGTTAATATCTGACATTTCTGTGGGTTCATGTTACAGATTGTAACAGCCTCCCTGAAGGCTCAGAGCGGGTCAATACAGTGCAAATGGTTCAAGTGGAATGGTTGGAAAACAGAAGAAAAATGCATAATGTATCTATAATAAAGAAAAAATATTTTCTGGATTATGTTTTCTTATTTGTGTCCACCTGTATCAGAATTATCTTCTAATACTACAGGTGAACTATTTCTGCAAAGTACATACTAGCTTTTTTTTTTTTTTTGACACCCTTGTCCCAAAGAAGCCTTTAGGCATCTAGAATTGAGATCCAAAACAGCTCCTTTCACATCCTTGAAGTGCCTCAAACTTCTCTTTAACCTTCATCTCCCCAGAACCTACAACTTTAATGTTTGAAAGTATTTCTTCCATGCACATTTTGAGAGATGAAATACTCAGGTCTCATGTAGATCCTGTTAAGATCCAGAAGCTACAAATTTGAGGATGTTCAAATTCACATATTCTACACTGTGTGTGTGGTGAGGAGAGCGCTTCCAAGAGCAGTTCTATATAAATCCTGAGACCATAACCCAGGATGCCCTCTCCAAATGCATTGCAATCTTTTAATTCGCAATAGAGTCAGACTCCTTCATGCGCTCTCTAGGTCTGTTAGTTCTCTTATTAAAGCCAAACCAACCATATTAAACTGATAAACACTCTGTATACGTATGCTGATAGGAACAGAGCTGTCCTCTTAGACAATCTAAGTTACTAGTGCTATATCACCACTTCACTGAAGGAAAAAGGATTGATTACCCACACTGCAGTTTTTTGAATGTGACTTTCTTCTTCTGTAATTTCTATAATTTCATTTATTTCACCAGAAATCTTCACATATGTTTAACAAACCATCCACCCTGTAAGCTGTAATTCCTTTTAATTGAGGTCTGTGCTTTTCAAGCAGAAATCTCAGGTAAAGTGACTTTGGACATGATCTGATCAATGTCTGCCACTGGAGAATCCACCTCCACTCTCATCAGACTATTAGAATTGTATACAAAGTTGATAGGGTCAAGCCACCTGGTTTCAGTGGAAGGGAGGAAAGCACTTCCCTAAATCTTCACAATTCTTTGAAGAGGTCAATGAGAGCACAGACAGGCAGGACCTGAGGAGAAACAGGTTCCTCTGAACCTTTGAAGTTACTGATGAGGTTTAATTTTCAAGGCTACCCAAGAGGTTGGGGTTGGTTGCCTGGGAAGACTTTTCCTCTGTGAGGAGACTTTTTACGCATGGTAGCTGCCACCACTCAGAAGAAAAAATCTTACTGGAATGAACTGAAGAATATGAAACAAGAGGAACTGCTAGAAATAGTCAAAGGCAAACTGATAACCATTTCTAGGGTAGGATTTTATGCCAAGGTATTTTTAGCTCAGGTATTTCTAATTAAAATATCTTTCTGAAACATAAGAAAAAGACCTCTTTACTTTGTGTCAGGGGAAAGGAAAGTGAGTCTTTCAATGACTAGGATTTGCTCTGGCCTTACAGTGCTACATCCTTAACCAAAGATGAAGGAACAAAAGGCTAACAATGTTTATTAAAAAATCTGGATGATTTTTAGGGGGTTTGGTATAGTTTAGAATTAAAAAAGAATAAATAATAAAAAAGGAAAATATTAAAATATAGCTAAATTAAAAAAAAAAGTGAAAATGAACATATTTAAGTATCACAGCAGCCTTATCAGAAGGGCGCCTACAAGGATGCTGGAGAGGGACTCTTCATTAGGGACTGTAGTGATAGGACAAGGGGTAATGGGTTCAAACTCAAACAGGGGAAGTTTAGATTGGATATAAGGAAGAAGTTCTTTACTGTGAGGGTGGTGAGGCACTGGAATGGGTTGCCCAAAGAAGTGGTAAATGCACCATCCCTGGCAGTGTTCAAGGCCAGGTTGGACAGAGCCTTGGGTGACATGGTCTAGTTCGAGGCAACCCTGCCCGTGGCAGGGGGGTTGAAACTAGTTGATGGACCTTTGCAACCCAGACCATTCTGTGATTCTATGATTTACGAGTCTTTGCCTACAATGTGAAGACAGGAAAAACTCTCTGAAGAATCCCAGAATAGCACATAAACTTAGCATTTTTGAACACTCCAGGAGCAAATACACACTACTCTATCACTGATAAAAAGAAATTGTAGTCAGGAAAAAAGGGATGTAGAAGAATAAAAGGGACATAATTGGAAAAAAAGCTTATATTCTACTACCTGAGAAAATGTTAAGTATCAATTTGATTCAATGCCCAAGGCATCATTGAGAAAGATTTATTTCTTTAGATTTACTCAAATCCTCTCCGAGTTTCAGATGCTGAAACAAATATTAGATACACAAACAAATATCATCAGTAACAAGGGTATCATAACCTAATGCAAACCGATCTCTTTAAACATGAATTTCCTACTTAATGTTAAAATCCTACTTCACACAATAACAGCCCACACTCAAATGCAGCAAGTTTAAATCACCTCTTCTCTGAATAGCCTTGGAAAATAGAATTTTCACAGCATGCTCTGAAAAATGGTAGGCTTCCACTCTGGGAAACCTAGGATGAAATAATTCTAATAGTTCTAATGAAAAGTCACAATATTTTATGTATGCCTTGGTAATACTTGATAAAATACTTTGCAAGGAAGTAAAAACTATTTTTATATATATAAGATAGCCCAACTCCTTCTAAAGTAGCTAACTGCAAAATATCTAGACTTTTTTATTAAAAAAAAAAAAAAAAGCAAATCACAAATAACAGTAAATCATAGTAAATTGAGTTATACAACTCTATTTGGCAAAGTACAAGAAAAATGTCTGCAGCCAAAGAACCAGGGTAACCTTTCTCAATAGCTACACCCCGCTGTACACAAAAATTAGTACTATACCTCAGAGAAGGTGAGGGTATAAAAATCTACCTCTATCTGCAACTCTAAGTAAACCCAGTTGTTTCCCAGTAAAAGGAGCCTTTGTAGTCTCCACTATTTCCTTTTCCTTCACTCTCTTTTCTATTGTGACTTGTCCACATCTGTATTTTC